AAAAAAAAAAAAAAAAAAAAAAAAAAAAAAAAAAAAAAAGAAGAGTGGATGAGGGTTGGCAGAGCCCGCCAAGATTCTTTGAAAAAATTTGTCTATGAACTTCCAATCTTGAAGCTCTTACAAACACTGTCCAACATTCCAAGAAAATCTCTCACAATCACAAATATCCTCAGCGGATTCGTCTCCTCTTTGCTCACATTTCCATGGAAGTACTCTGTGATTTCCCTCACGCTCGACATCACCCCTTCTTCGTCCTTCCTCACCTCCTCCATCGTCTTCTTCACGTAGCTCATGAATCCCTTCATGGCGCCTACGAAATTCCCGCTCCTTTCATCCACGCTCAACTCCTTCCCCACCAGTTTTTGCAGTTTCGCCATTCCGTCGTTCAGATTCCCCCTCAAGCTTGCAACAACTTTCAGATCGATCGTTGCCGCTCGCTTCACGTTGTGCAATTCCGTGCTCAGGCCGGACACCAGATCTAATCCCATTCTTCGGTAATCGTTCTCTCTTTCTTCTATTGTTCTCGATTTGTTTTTTTGGCTGATTTTCCCCATTATGCTACCGGACACTCTGATTCCTTCTGATCGGATCATTTCTTGCACTACGAAGTGGAGTAGGGAGGTTTTTCCGTCGGTTCCTTTGACGTCGGATAGTTTTAGGAGTGCGTCTAGTTTGAATGCTCTTGCGCCTCCTCTGCTTGTTCCGACGTTCATTCGGTTCCCTGTTTTTAGCACCGCTTCCAGTAGTTTCAGGAAGAGCCTGCTCGATTTTAGCTCCTTACAGGCTTCCTGATGGAACATAAATTGAAGTAGCGTTAGAAAGAGTGAGTGAGTTCAAATTTGAAATGATTCATATCAGTTTAGCATCTACGAACTAAGAAAGAATGAGTTCGATTTGGCCATGATTAATGCCATTTTAGCATCTCTAGATATTGCTTTTACAGAGGATGGAAGAAGATTTAGACATCTTTGGTTACTGTTCTTGTTGGGGAACAGAACTGGAAGTAGAATTATAAGGAGTGAGTTTAGTTTTTTATGGTGATTGATGTTACTGTTCTTCTTTGTTACCTCTAGTATGGAAAACGAATTCCGGAGATGATTCACTTCATCTTCAAAAGTTTCTCTGTAAAGCATGGCTTCTACTCGTTGGAAGGCGAATGGTATTTTCAGAATTGATATCACAAAATTTTCTGTAAACCCCAATTCACCGATGTTTCCTTCATAGCTTAACAATTTGGCCTCTTCTTCCTGTGTTGGTACCATCTTCACCAGTGCTTCAAGTTGTCTCAAACGCATCCCCGTCCCTGTTTTTCATATGAGAATCATTAATAAACTATGGAGCTCTGGGTCTTTTGGGTTCCTATCTTGTTCTAAGAATCAGGTATTTTCTTATTTAAAGAGATCCATACCTTGTTCTATGGCTTCACAAACTTGTTCTGTAGAGAGATTCAGGGCTTTTAAGAGAATGGTTAGGTTCTGAAGTCTCTTTGCCTCTAGTATATGCTTGGTTGGAGAAGGGCTTTTGTTGCTAGCATCACCATTCTTCATTGAATCATGTTGGTTGTAGCCAAATAGTGACTCAATCATTTCTTCGTCTAGCCTGTTTTATCATGAGTTCAATCAGCAAAAAGTTGAAATAATTCAAATAGTCAAGAACCAAGACTTACTCAAATGAACTCCATCTTAGCTTGTCCCAAACCATTGATCGATCTGGTGCAGCTCTTACTTTGTCCCAGTGGAGAGGCTTAAGTTTGGGCCGCGAATTTCCCTCTTTTCCAAATGCCATGAATTGAGGGAGCTTGGAAGGAAGAGGTGGTGGAGTTTTGAAAGAGTAAGCCTTTGCTTTCAAACTTGGTGGTGGAGAAGGGGGTGGAGGGATAGAAGATGATGGTAGTGAAGGTTTAGCAGCAGGATTAGGTGATGTCAGATCATTCCATGGTATTTGAGATAACGAAGAAGAATCTGACATTGCTGGAGATGATGATCTTAACAATGCAGATGAGGAAGTAGATCCAGTTGAAAAGGGTGAAGAGAGGGAAAAAGAGCTGCGATCCGTGATTGGCGGCGGTGGCGGCGGTGGTGGCGGAGGCGGAGATATAGATGGGACATTCTTTTGGCCACCTACAGAGAGGGAAACCATCTGCATTTTGCTTTCTGGATTGCAAGGAGAAAGGGTAATATGCGACTGGTCAGAAGTTGATGGTTTGTTAGAATCATCACATTGTGTTGTTTCCAATTTACTTGGTAAGTTCATAGTTGGCACTGAACAAGTAGATTTTGTTATCACATTAGCAGAAGAAGATTCTGAAGCATTTGAAAGGCGAGCATTCGACAAATTGGAATCACCACAAGAATGGAATGATTCCTCATCATCAGAAGAACAAGATTTAACAGGAGTAATTCTATCCCCAGATGAGGAATCAGCTTTAGCAGATACGCATTGTATTGATTTACTATCATCTTCCTCATGAACATACATCATTTCCTTGGTTGAAGAAACACTTACATTATCAAATTCTGAATCTAACATCTCTTGGCCCCTTTCCCCCTCTTTATGAACAGATATCTCCTTTTCACTTACAGAACATTGGGTCTGTTCTTCTTCAGCATCCATTCCAAGCATACCGAGATCGAACGGATCAAGGCCAGATTTTGGTGATTTTGGTGAATTTGGTTTAGCTGACTTCTCTACTGTTTCACTCTTAACAGAAAGCTTCTCCGTGGCTTCCTCTCTCTGAGTTTTGAACTTCTTGCAGACCCAAAAGGCAATAATAGAGCATATCAAAATGGTGACTCCTGCAGACACAAGAACTGCAACAAGAATTTTTCTGACTCTTCCTTCTCTTGCATCTTCCTCTCTTTTAGGTTTGTATACTGGTCGTCTCTTGTGCAAGCGAAGCTGATGAGGGTGGGAGTGCTCATGAATGTGCACTCGATGAGTTGCCACATGAACAGGGGAAGGAGCAATGGCTGCCGGTGATGGAGACGGCGACGGCGACGGCGACGGCGAAAACGAAAGATCCGATGGTAAGCTCTTGAGTCCAAGTAGAGCTCTGAATCTCTCCAGAATGAAAGGCTCATTTCCTCGACTCTCATCTTCCCCCGAAACCCTCTCTAACTCTTCAACATCGAAGCTCTCTGCTGCATTCAATGGTGAGTTAGCAATCAAAATGTGGGAGTTCTGCGTTGAAAAAGGTATGGACATGAAGATAATAATCATGAGAACACAACCCATTTTGTGTTGAATCGAGATTCATCAAAACCCAAGTAAGAATTTGTTCCAAAGAAACTCTGTAGTTTTCACATTCTGGAACCTAATGTTGGGTACTGCAGGGAGATTCGATGGCAGAGAAGAGGAGGAAGACGAGAGTCTTTAATGCTACTCCAAGGAACCTCTCTGAACATGGCTGTTGTTTGTTTTTGGGTATGTAAACTGACCTTCCTTACCTTTTCTTTTGATTTACTCTTGTTTTATCAGTCATTATCCCCCATAAACCTCATCTGCAGAAGCACCATTAAATGCACTTGTTTCTGCATCACCCAACTCAGTCTCCATTCTGTTGTCTTGTTTTGTTTCTTCTGCTTTGTGTTAGAGAAAAGTTAAGCATGCTTTTTCGCTGCTAGTTGGTCCGTGATTCAGAGCTTTTCGAAGCTAATGATTCATCTGATTTGAAAAAAAACTTGAGTCTGATGTTAAAAATGTAAGATTTGGCAGTTGAAACAGAGGGCTTTAGGAGATTAAAAAAAAAATAAGCTCACAGAATCAAGAACAGCAGAAAAAAGTATCTTTTGTGGGACCTCTGTTTCTAATGGAGCTGCCTTACAGATGGAGGAAGACGGGAGCCATAAGTTTTCACCAACTTCATAATTAAGAGAGAGAATAGGAGGAGATAGAAATAGGTTTGGGTGGGGACAAATGATACCACACCTTTTAGATAGAATGGAAATGAAAACTACAACCATTTAAGACCTAAACTCTCTAATTCACTTGGCCGTTTAGACCCCAAATTTTTTTGTTATTTTAATTCATGAAACTACAAAATGTTTATGTTTTGAAACGAAATAAAAAATTTAGGCTTTGTTTTTTAAATTCTAAAATGTCTTTTTTTAATTACTATGGTTTTGTTGAAAATAATTATGTTTTTGGTGTTTGGTTTTTTTTAAATTGTATTGGTTCTAGTCAAATTTTCAATTTATGATAATGATTTTAAAAGTTCTAGACTTAAATAAATAGACAGTTTAGTCATTATAATTATTTTCCTTATTTTCTGATTGAGTTGGTGAATTTCACCAGAATATTTACTCGTTTTGTACACATTCGAGTGTTGGCATCTCAATGTCATGCATGCCTGTGTGCCTATGAGTTTCGTGTGTTTCTCCAATCTCACATGTTGTGCGTGAGCGTGTGTTCAACCTCTCTGTTCCTACCCATTTTGGATGTCCAAATCACCCAATTTTATGGGTTTCTACCAAGTTTAGTGACCAACTTTAAATGCTAAAATTTTCTATTTTGAGCCCCACAGAGATTCATCTTAAAACTGAATTCTACACATTTGAGAGTTTTCTTTGGAGAATTTGAGTGAGTGAGCCAAAGAATAACCTCTCGAGAACACAAAGATCACAATGGAAACAAGTATCAATGGAGAACACGGTTGAGTTTATAACTTAGCATGAGAATGGACTTTATTTTAGAGAGGTTTACTTGACCATACAACTTTTTAGGGGATTTAATATCAATCAAGATGAGATTACAAGACGCTCCTTAAGACATACTACACTGATCTTTTAGAGCCCCATCCCACCACTAGTAGATATTATCCTTTTTCGGGCTTTTCTTTAAGATTTTTAAAACGTGTCTGTTAGGGAGAGGTTTCCACACTCTTATAAATAATTATTTTCCTTTACAACCGATATGGGATCTCAACATCTTTCAGGACGCAAAGAATTATTTGTTCTCCTCTACAACTGATACTGTCTTCTTTGGACTTTTTCTTTCGTGTTAGGGAGAGGTTTCCATACCCTTATAAAGAATTATTCGTTCTCCCACACAACCGATGTGGGATCTTACATTCTAACTCCGCTCGAGACCCAACGTCCATCGCTAGCAGATATTGTCCTCTTTGGGCTTTCTCTTTCGGACTTCCCCTCAAGGTTTTAAAAACTTGTTTGCTAGGGAGAGGTTTCTACACCCTCATAAAGAATGATTCCTTTTCCTCCTTAATCGATGAGGGATCTCACAATTCACTCCGTTCAAGGCCTAGTATCTACTGTTAGTAGATATTGTCTTTTCTGGGGTTCCCCTCAAGGTTTTAAAACGCGTCTTCAGAGAGGTTTCAACACTCTTATAAAAAAATGCTTCGTTCTCCTCTCCAACCGATGTGGGATTTCACAATCCACCCCCTTCGGAGCCTAACGTCCTCGTTGGCACTCGTTCCTCTCTCCAATGAATGTGGAATCTCACATAACTTTTCTCGGATGAAAAACGTGGTGGCGGTAAAGAGGTATCTACAGCAGAGGTATTTATAATATTCTAAACTTTACGCATTTACGTGTTCTTCTAGATTTATTCTCAAAACATCTAAATAAATAAATCTTTCTAAAAAGTTCTAAAAATATGTTCTTTCTAAAACATTTTATAAATTTCTTAGGCCATAAATTCATGCAATTTTTGAGCGACTGATGATCTTTTAAGATTATTTTCAAATTAAATTTAAAATGAGCGGAAAATAATTAGTATTATAAGATGATAGAGATGTGTGGAGTAAATGGTCCATCCCTTTCTGATGTGAGGTATGTATGTGGTTATGAAAGGAAGAAATGAAAGCAAAATGTGAAGGGGATGAAAGGGAAAAGGCAAAAGAGGAGAAATTTGATGACTGAATAATGGGAAGCAAAGGAACGTAAAAGTACTTTCTCTTTCTTGCATTTGATATTAGTTGGCTCCAACTTCCCAAGTTCCGATGTGGGACACACTTCTATATTGACAACCAAAATACGACACACTAGTTCTTCCATTCATTCATGCTTGAATGGACTCAAGAATTTTTACTCACAAACCAATAAAAATTGTTATCAAGTAATACCTCTCGTTTGTTTAAATGAAAATTATCTTTTAAAAGCGAATAAATTTTAAACTCTTTTTTTTTTTTTTAATAGCCAAGTTAAAAATAAAAATAGTCGAAAAATTGCGAGAACTCTGACGAGGCACTAGAGTTTTTGCAACTCTAATCAACCACCCACAACCCCTCTTGAGGGAGAGTGAAAGCTTGGTATTAGAGCTAACAACTGGTATCAGAACGAGGTGAAATTCATCTGGATCTGTGAAGATGGAAATTTCAAAGATTAGAATTAAAAAGTTTGATGGATTCGATTTTAGTTTCTAGAAGATGCAGATTGAAGATTGTCTGTACCAGAAAGGTCTTCACGAACCTCTGCTGGGGTGAAGTCAGATACTATGACCACGGAGTAGTGGAAGCTCAAGGATCGTCAGGCCTTAGGGTTGATCTGATTGTCGTTGTCCAAAAACGTGGCGTTCAATATAATCAAGGAGAAGACAACGTCAGATTTGTTGAAGGCGCTGTCGAATATGTACGAGAAACCATCGGCTATGAACAAGGTGTATTTGATGTGAAGGCTGTTTAATCTAGAAATGTCTAAAGGTGGATCTGTTATTGGTCATATAAACGAATTCAATATGATTACAAGTCAACTGAGTTCGGTGGATATTAATTTCGAAGATGAAATTAAGGCATTGATTTTGATGTCATCTTTACCCGAGTTGTGGGATACTATTGTTGCCACGATCAGCAGTTCACGAGGATCTGATAAACTGAAGTTTGATGAAATCAAGATGTAGTTCTTAGTGAAAGTATTCACAAACGGGAAATCGGAGATTCATCAGGCCATGCTCTCAGTGTTGATCGAAGGGGAAGAAGTAAATCAAAGGGCCGAAACAATGGGCAATCAAAATAAAGGAATCGAGGAAAATCTCCAAACAAACCAAACGTCTGTTGGAGTTGTGGAGAAAAAGATCACTTTCAGGCAGATTGTACAAAGTGGAAACAGAATCATAAATCAGAAGATGACGATGAGTCGGTAAATTCAGCAGAAGACACTGGAGATGCTTTAATCCTCAGCGTGGACAGTTCGATTGAATCCTGGATTTTGGATTCAGGTGCATCTTTTCATTCGTCTCTAAATAAAGAGTTGTTTAGAAATTTCAAGTTTGGAAATTTCGAGGAGGTGTATCTTGCCGACAACAAAGATTTGAAGATTGAAAGAAAAGGGGATGTCTGCATAAAAACTCCGACAAGAAATCAGTGAACATTAAAGGATGTCAAATATATTCCTAGTCTCAAGAAGAACCTGATCTCTATTGGTCAGTTGGATAGCACAGGTTATGCAACAAAGTTTAAGAAGAGTTCGTGAAAGATTGTGAAGGGTGCTATGGTGGTAGCACGTGGCACAAAATCTGGAACCTTATACACCATTGCAGGGTGTATGAACATAGCTGCTGTTGCTGAGAGTGCTTCAAATTCAAGTCTATGAAATAATAGACTTGGACATGTGAGCGTAAAAGGAATGAAGATGCTGGCTGCGGAAGGAGTTTTGGAAGGTCTGAAATTTGTTGATATAAGTCTTTGTGAGAATTGCGTTCTGAGCAAAAAGAAACGAGTTAGCTTCACAAAGACTATCAAAGAATTGAAGAAAAGTACCGGGACAACGAAGCAAGTGGGAGTTGAGGTTGAGTTGCTGAAATATTCACGTAGTGATGTTGCTTAACCCGATGTTAATTAGACTTGGAGGAGGAAGTACAAGATAGTTTGAGGATATTAGTAATTCCGACCTAGGCCAAACAAGTGACTATGCTATGTTGTAGTAACATGATATGATGTAAACATAATTCACAGACTCACATGTTATAAATGATTAGAAGTTTGACTTACGATTTTAAGCCATGAGGACCTCATACATTTTTTTTGTGTCATATGCACCAGAATACCTCCTCATAATGATTAGTATGGTCGTGTACCTTATGGCATTTATGTTCACCATAATAAATATTATACGGGTTCTTTCCCTCTAAGGTGTTCGGCAACCTGTTAGCAAATGTTAGCCTAACGACCCAATCCTAGGAGTACGCAAGTCTTCTTGGTGCGTCCATGTGCGCATGCATGAGTTGTGTAGAGAAATACTACACATCCAACCCTCCCGGACTAAGAAGCTGCCTAAGGTCATGCCATGTTTTTAAAAGGGTAAGTCCCAACATCACATGCGTTTGCATTTTTCAACCCCGATACTGGAGTTACTTACAGAGTATTTAAAATACCCAAGTCACATGCTACTCTTATTTTTCAGCTGAAAGTAATCTCCATGACAGCTCAAGGAATCTACTCGTCATGTCTTTATTTTCAATAAAGAATTCTCAATTAGTGTTTGATATGCATGTAGTAATTTCGCAAATCAAAGGATCAATTTGCATTGACATCAACTTAAATTCAAAAATTTTGATCGTCTTTAACTAATGTCGTCATCTGTACATAGGAGCCTTACATTTACTTAAAAAATATTAAATGTAATTTGAGTATTTAAAAATACTCCGTAAGTGACCTCACTGTTTGAGTCGAAAAATGCAATCACATGCAATCATGGTTTACCGTGGAACCTTCTTTTTATGATTATGTCTTAGACATAACTTTCTTTTCCGAGTAAAGTTAAATGCATAGTACTTCTCTATATATGAATCCACTAGGCGAGAGCTCGTATACATAGCCCCTAGACTTGACTATAGGCTATGGCACACTCGTGCGGCCAGAAATTAAGGAAAAGAAAGGAGTGCACATTATATCATAGGTATGCGTTTGTACAAATTATACTGTGAAATATCTCATGCTTATGACATACAACATGCATAGATAGTAATTTTCATTCGTTTGAACCTTTTTCAGTCTTTTTTTTTCTTAAGATCAGTCTCATTTGGATGTGATCTCATTTCATTCCTATACCCTTTTACTGAGGCATCACAAGTGTATATTAGTTGATTTATTAAATCAACTCATTTATTATTTAACAAAGAAAAATACATAAATGGAGGCTTAGTGAATTTTTTTTTAATAAATAGTGAGTATATTGTAATTATTATGATGGTGAAAAAAAAAAAAACTAATCGAAGAGGGTAAAGATGGAATTAAGAGCTCTTATCGAAAGGCCAATACAAAAGTAATAAACCAATTTATTGAGTAAAACAGCGGTACATGAACGTATCGATATTACATCTGAATGAGAGTGATCTTTAAGATAGAATAACTAAAAAATACTTAAAAGAATTTAAAATTACTGTCTATACCAACAGGGTGCACCTTCTTTTTTCGGCGGCGGAATCATAGAAACTCAAAAGTTAAGCATGCTTTATTTTAAGCAATTTCATACCGGGTGACCTTCTGGGAATTTTCCTACGATACATATGAGTAAAAACAAAACATACTAAAAGGACGGACTCGTATGGGTATGTGAGGATAGTCTTTACTCTTAGAACCAGTAAGTAAGTGACATGACCATGTCACAGGGGAATGTCGGAGCACACATGGGACGTTACATAATTTGTTCATTAAAATTGTATTAATAAATGGGCCATCCTACAATTATATTAAATTTTAGAAAACTAGTTAAGAGCTTATATTAAGATGAAAATGTTATAAAAAGACGCTAGCAGATATTGTCTTTTTTGGGCTTTTCCTTTCGGGCTTCCCCCTCAAGGCTTTAAAACGCGTACTAGGGGAAGGTTTCCACACCCTTATAAAGGGTGGTTTGTTCTCTTCCCCAACCAATGTAGGACACCACAATCCACCCCCCTTGGGGGCCCAGCGTCCTTACTGGCACACTACCTCATGTCTACTCCCCTTCGGGGAACAGCGAGAAGACTGACACATCATCTAGTGTCTAGCTCTAATACCATTTGTAACAACCTAGACCCACCGCTAGCAGATATTATCCTCTTTGGGCTTTCCCTGGTGGTTTGTTCTCCTCCCCAACCAATATGGGACACCACAATCCACCCCCCTTACTCTAATACCATTTGTAACAACCTAAACCCACCGCTAGCAGATATTATCCTCTTTGGGCTTTCCCTGGTGGTTTGTTCTCCTCCCCAACCAATATGGCACCGCCCCCAAATCCAACCCCCTTTGGGCCCAGCATCCTCGCTGGCACTCTTTCCTTCCTCCAATCGATGTGGAACCGCCCCCAAACCCACCCCCTTTTGGGCCCAGCGTCCTTACATGTCTACAACCCTTCAGGGAAGGGCGAGAAGGCTGACACATCATCCGGTGTCTGGCACTAATATTATTTGTAACAACCCAGGTCCACCGCTAGCCGATATTGCCCTCTTTGGGCTTTCCCTTTCGGGCTTCCCCTCAAAGCTTTAAAACGCATCTACTAGGAGAAAGTTTTCACACTCTTATAAAAGGTGATTTATTCTCCTCCCTAACCAATGTGGGACATCACAAATAAACCATCCAAAAATTCAATATAATCGAGGAATCATTCCCATATAGATATAAAAATAATAATGCTATCATCCAACTTAGAACCAATATTTTAAATGAAATCAAATAAAAGTAAGCAATTTATTTCATAGCCATTAAAAGAAGAGAGAAATATTAAATGCAAACATTTATTTATTTTAAGAGGAGAGAGAGAATCCAAGAGAGAGAAAGTCAAAGTCAAAGGAAATGATTTCATACATTATAGCATATGAGTACTTTAATTGAAACAACAAGAAAGAATTTTTGTTGTATTGTAGAATTTATCATTTATTATGTTGAAAAAATATATATAATTTAATTTCAATTCGTTAAAAAATTATAGTATCGAACAAAACGTCAGCTTGAGACTATTATCTTATTAGTATTGTTTAATTTGAGCATAAGCGCTTATGAATTTGCTTTTGGTTTTCTAAAAGATCTCGTGTCAATTAAGATAGTGTTCTTTACTTATAAACCCGTGATCTTCCTCTTAATTAGCCAATGTGGGACTTTTGTCACAACAATCTTCTCTTCGAACATAGAGCCTCCCCTAAGGTCTCTAGAGCCCTCGAACAGCCTCCTCTTAATCGAGACTCGACTCATTATTTAGAACCATTGAACAAAGTACACCCTTTGTTCGACACTTGAGTCACTTTTGACTACACCTTTGAAGCTTACAACTTCTTTGTTCTGACACGGGATTTTACTAAAATGACTTAGTCAAGAGCATGATTCTAATATCAGAATAAGATCCTCGTATAAATAAATTGTCATAAATAGTAAATAGCTATGTATAGTAAAAAAGTTATATTCGATGTCCGACAAAGCTATATATGTAGATAGTTATATATAGTAGATGGGTAAATCTTGGACAAAGTATATATAGTAAGCTAAATAATATATATATATATATATACGATAAAGCTATATGGTAGATAGTTATATATAGTAGATGGGTAAATTTGGTAAAGGTATATATAGTAAGCTGAACAGGTGTACTTTCTGTATTCTCTCTTACGGTACATACTTGAAGTCATCAATACAAATCCTTTAGCCAATATTCTTCTTGCATTTTCTCTATATGTTCTTTGTGTTCATGTAGATCGAGTGTGTGCCCTTCCATTTTCTCTATCTTGTTCTTTGTGTTCATCTAGATCGAGTGTGTGCGTTGTTGTGCGATCCTAACACAAAATACCTCATGCCAACGGAGATCGTGTTCCTTATTTATAAACCCATAAACCTAACACTTTATTGAACTAAAAAACAATTAAAAATAGTTCAACTATAATCTAAGTCGAACACAACATTGAAAACTCAACTTTTACTTTCCCAAACAATGCTCAGGATCTCGCTGAGGTATCCTCGTTAGAAGCACACAAGCAAGTCCCCCGACACCTCAGACTCCTTCGCCCCTGAGACGCCTAATCCTCAAGCTTATCACCCTGGTACCGCTGCTCGTCCTCTGGTTGTAACAAGGTAGTTTGTGTCGTTTGTATTGTGAATGATTGTGACAGCGATGTGAAAATAGCTTTTACTTAGAAAGTCGAGAATGGACAACGGGATCTTAGAAGATTTTAAAATTTTGATCGTATATTATTCACCCGTTTCAAATCACGAGTATTTTTTTAGTCGAAATAAGTAAAGGTGAGCGACAATAATTGATACAATCATTTTGTGTTATATTTTTGCATTGCCATCTCTAGACAAACATATTTATGAGCATTTATTATTATGTGTGTGAAAAGGCATATGTTCAAACATTGGGTGTTGATTAGTTTATTGAGGGACCCTTTAGATGAGGGAATGGTAATAAGGGTGAAAACGAGTAAAAAATTACATAATAGTAAATCGGTAAAAAAAAAACGGTAAAGGGAATGGTAATAAGGGTGAAAACGAGTAAAAAATTACATAATAGTAAATCGGTAAAAAAAAACGGTAAAAATAGTAAATGTGGTTTGCATACTTAAAAATATATAATAAGTAGTCTCACGGTCGAGGCCAGGAAGTACAATCACATGCACTCATTGTTATTGGGTCGTGGGTTTCACTTGTTGGTTAAGTCCGACACGAGTTTCGTTTCCTTCACCCATTTTCACGCGAAATTGAAACCCTAACTCTGATCGGTTTCTCTCTCTTTTTCCTGCTTCCAAGTCCATTTTTTTGGCCAAAATTCGGTTGTTATCTTTTGTCACACGTCTCTCTGACTCTCCTTTTGTACTATCATCACCGATGACCGTCACACATCGATGATTGCCAACTCGTGCCTATTCTCTCCTCTCACACGTCTCTCTGACTTTCCTTTTGTACTATCGTCATCGATTACCATCACACACTGATGATTTCCAACTCGTCCCTATTCTCTCCGTTTTTCGATTTCCCTTTCCTTTTTTTCTTTGTTTCTCTCGTATTGCAGGTTTGCTATGGAGGGCGGCTTTAGGGGAGTTATGAAGGCATGGGGGAACGGTTCCTTGCGAGATCCACGACGCTTGGTGGAAATCTCGCGATTTCTAGTGACTTCTCTCTCTTTTTTTTTTTTTTTTTTATTCGTTACAAGTATTATATCACCATAGAGATTGCATAAATCCGTAGATTATGTATTTTGTGCTTTACTAATACGATTATCTCCCTAGTAAAGCATACATTGATATACCAACATTGGCCCAGTTAGAATATTTTAGTAGACCGAGCACCCTAAGATTGTGAGTGGTGATCAGTGGTCAAGACCATAGTGCTCCCATAAATTAGATTAGTCCCGAGGAGCTAGTCCCGAGGAGCTAGTCCCGAGTATCTTGAAAAAATATAAATTTGAGGTTTAAGTTGCCTACACGCCCTAAGAACCTAGTAAACCCGTATATAACATATAAGAATGACTACTAAAGCTTAGTAGGCTTACTAGTAGTGTGAACAATATCATATAGCGAAGATCACTTCTTATTTTCTCCAGTACCTTATAGCATGGTTTGGCAACCAAGGTCAAACCAACCCATATCGATGAGCTTGACCAGATCAATCAAATAGGATAATGTAATGAGGCTACTTAAGCTACTATTGAGTGTAAAGCAAGTAAAAGGGCGGACCACAATGTCGTGAATCGGTCGTGAGAGGGGACTAGGGACTACATGGGTAGTAGTTTAGGATGAGTGTCCCTAGTATGGGTGGAAATGGCCCCAAGCCTACTGAAAAGGGTCATGCCACCATAAATCCATATGAGAGGGACGAGAAACCATACAACTAAACTTAGTAGTTTGGCCTTCGTACACGGCCGCTCCCCCAGATTTAGTACAACTTTATGGCCATGTTTAAGGGTCGTATGCTAATCTTACATAGATAATGTTTAGATGAGATGATGTCATCTGTTCAAACATTTACGACACCATACCAATCATTCTTTGCTACACCAATGCAAGCTAACTACGCCTAAAAATAGAAAAGTTAGTCAACATAGAGATGAGACAAGTTGTTCGATAGATCTACGGCGTTAAAACTCAATGAACAACTTCTAGACCCCAATTGGGTATGTGATAAGCAAGAGAGTCGCTCAAAATTTCGAGATATTCCCAAATACTCAGATAGCCATAAAACTTAGGTCCAAACTTCCAAGGGCCCAAAGGAAAGTCCACGGTAACTTATTATGAATTGGACGTGAGAACGTATAAATAGGCTGCTTACAGAATACTTTTATAATCGTCCCGTTCTATTTTTCTTTTTAGGTTTCCACTGACTACCAAAAAGGAGGAGGAGCATTCTCGAGTTGGCAATCAGAGAGAGGTCGTCCCAAGGTTTTCATATAACTTATTATTATTATATTTGGACTTATAAATAAATATATTAAAAAAAGACAAAAAGAAGTTCAAGAATGAGAGGCATATTGGAGAGATAATAATCGTCTTCCTCGTCTAGAGCTGCAAACCCTTTTGGTCGGGCATATAAATCTTCTCATCTAGATCTCTATGTAAAGACGTTTTTACATATATTTGCTCAAGATGCAAATTCACCGATGTAACAATACTCAGTAAAATTCGAATAGTAATTAATTTCACAATAGGAGAAAACATCTCAACATAATCAATATCTTTCCTTCGTGAATATTCTTTACCTACTAACCGAGCCTTGAACCTCTTTTTTCCATCCGGTTCAGCCTTGATTCTAAACACCATTTGTTCAATAGAGCTCTTTTTCTTATAGGTAACTCAGTCAACGTCCACGTATTATTCTTGTTCATTTCATCATCCATGGCTTGCTCCTGTTTGATGAAAGTTAATTTAGAGAATGATCATGGGTTTATAATCGATTGGTATGAGGCATTTTTGGGAAGCCCAAAGTAAAGTCATGAGAGCTTATGCTCAAAGTGGACAATATCATACCATTATGGAGAGTCGTGATTCCTAACATGGTATCAGAGTCGTGCCCTAAACTTAGTCATGTCAGATTCAAAGGACTCTGGTTCTCCTTTGTCAGTAAGCAACATATAGTGTAGTGAAGATGAATATCTATATGGTGCTCTGATAGTTCTAGATGATCTCCTCAGCATCTGTTTAGGTATCACTTGCTCCACGTCTGGTTCTTCAGCTTGAGCTTTTGTTGTAACAACACTGGGTGAGTTTTTCTGCAACTCAAGCTCGGTCACGTCACAATATCTTAGGATTTTCCTATTCTTGTCATCCCAAGATCTGTACCCAAACATGTCAAAATCATAGCCTATGAAATAGCACTTTACAACTTTAGCATCAAGCCTGTGTCTCTTCTCTGGATCAACGTGAACATACGCAGTGCAATCAAAAGTTCTCGAGTGAGAGTACTTGAGTTCTTTTCATATCCATACTTCGTCTGACACTTCAAACTCCAAGGGTACTGAGGGCCCTTTATTCATCAAATAGATGGTTGTATTCACAGCATCAACCCAAAATGTCTTTTGTAATGCATAATAAATTCTCATGCTCTCTTTGCCCACTCATTCAATATTTTGTTCATCCTTTCTGTTAGGGATGTACATCTAACCCGACAACCCGAACCAACCTAACCTGAATTATAGGGGCTGGGTTAGGTTGGGTTGGATTAATCTTTTGGGTTGAGTTGGATTGATTTTTCTGGACCCAAAGTGACTCGGTTCGGTTTCTGGTTCATAGAATAAAAAACTCGAGTTAGACCCGAAACCGAGAATAAAACTTATAAATAACATTGAGAACTCTGTCGTATGTAAAGGTCTGTCAGAATGGCAATTCGGGCTTACTAAGATATTCCATGCTTGGGTTGAGTCCATATTGTCTATAACGTAAATAAATTAACAAATATCTATTTATTCTATCTTTATACTATTAACTAACAAATCACACTCATAAGTTTTGTTTTAATTTAAAAATATGATTTATGATAGGTTATTTAATATGATTTTGAAGGTATTTTTATTATATAGTTTTTTTAAATTAATCATTTATTTTTTTTAAATTTTATAATCAATTTTTGTTAAATAATGTTGAGACGTTACAATTTTTTCTTATTGTTGTCGATGAATTTGTTTTTTTTTTTTTTAATATTAAAGATTGTTTCGTGTGTGTGAACTTTTAATATTTTTTATCTAAGATTATATCGAATAATTATAAATTGTGAATAAATAAAAAAACTTAAAAAAAGTTAGCCGGAAAATCCAACCCAAAAATAGAGGGTTGGGTTGTGAAAATTTTCGGGTCGGGTTGGGTTACCAATCCAACCAACCCGAACTTTTGGGTTTGGTCAAAAAAATCTCTCAACCCAACTTAACCCGGACCATGTACACCCCTACTTTCTGTAATACCATTTTGTCTTGTCTTACAAGAATTGTCCTCGTTAGTCTAACTCCCTGCACAAATTGTTTTAAACTCTAACTTGTCGTACTCTCCTCCATTGTCAAACATCAAGCATTTAATCTTCAAACCCGTCTGATTTTCAACTTTAACTTTCCACTTCTTTAAGGTGGCAAACACATATGACTTTGTGTTTCAGGAAATAAACTCATAACTTCCCTGCTGAAATCATTGATGAAAGTGACGTAGAACTTTGATTCTCCAATTAATGGAACAAGAGATGGTACCCAAATGTTTGTATGGACCATTTCCAATCGCACTTTATTCAATTCTCTGGCAGCATTTGTGAAACTAATTTGATTCTATTTGCCAATAATGCAGCTCTCACAAGGACCCATATCAATAGATTTCAGGTCTTCTAAAACTCCTTTCGCAACCGACATCTTCATTCTTTTGACATTCATATGTCCAAGTCTATTGTGTCATAGACTTGAACGTGAAGCACTCTCAGCAACAGCAGCCATGTTTATACACCCTGCAGTAGTGTATAAGGTTCCAAATTTTGTGCACATGCTATCACCATAGCACCATTCACGATCTTCCATGAACTCTTTCCAAACTCGGTTGCATAACTTGTGTTATCCAACTAACCAATAGAGATCAGGGTTTTCTTAAGACCAAAAATATATCTGACATCGTTTAATGTCATTGATTTTCTGTGGGAGTTTTTATACAGACATCCCCTTTCCTTCAATCTCCAAAGATTTGTTGTCGGCAAGATGTCTTCTTGAAATATTCAGATTTGAAATTCTGAAACATCTCCTTGTTTGGAGACGAATGAAAAGATGCACCGTAATCCAAAATCCAGAATTCAATCAGATTGTCCACGCTAAAGATTAGAGAATCCTCAATGTCTTCTACTGAATTCATAGAATCTTTATCATCCTTCGATTTGTGATTATGCTTCCTCTTTGGTCTTGTACAATCTGTTCGAAAGTGACCTTTTTCTCCAAAACTCCAACACGTTACGTTTGATTTGTTTGAAAAATTTTCATGGTTCCTTGATTTTGATTAAGTAGGTTGTTTACCGAGTATTTTTATATGAATCCCTTTCTCCTTTCTTTTTCAAGTTTTTGCAGGCTGTCAGTTGAGGTGGAAGAGCGTTCGAGAGTTGTGTGATCACAACGGGGTTGTTCCAGAGCGTCAATCCATTTTTACATTTTGGAGTCTTTATATTCTCTTTTATAATTGTATTCCTCATTTGTAATATTTTGAACAACATCGTCTTATAATTGAATTTAATTTTGTATTTGATTGTAGTATTGTTGACTTTTTTTCTTATTTAAATTTTATCAGAATTTTATTTTACTTTTATTTTTATTTGATTTCGCTTTCGTCACTATCATCAATAAGAAAACCCGTAGAGTTGTTATCCGGGAACTTGTTCAAAAATACTGTAATGAAAGGAAAATAGGAGTTTGTCGCTAGGTATTTTACCAAATAGGACCGTCCAGTTCCTATAGAACTCATCACTAAAATACCCCTACGAGGGGATAGGGCTAAACGGAACGAAAAGGGTTTTCAAGATAGGAGTTTGTCGCTAATTTGACCAAATAGGATCGTCCATTTCCTATAGAACCTATTACTAAAATACTCCTACGGGGGGATAGGGCTAAGCAGAGCAAAAAGGGTTTTCCATGAGATGGAAAATTTAAACTATTAGCCTCACACGAGATTTGTGAATAAGTGATTGTTTGATAATGAGCAAAGAATGTCCGTCTTTCTGCCAAACAGGATGTATTAGTCTTTTTAGTCACGGTCCGAGATTCAAAGCCTAAAAAATTGGGTCGTGACAATCTAACCTTTATGATTTGGGTCAGATAGTCTGAATTGGTCGTATTCTCCAGACATATAAACGCCCCTAATTTTTAACACTTTCACTCATTAGCTGCAACATAATTATAAAAAAACCGACGCCACTACATTAAATATATTGTTTATATTTCAAAGCTATACCTAAATCCCAAGAACAAATCTAATAATAAAAGCCATGTTCTTATCAATCATGAACAAATTTTCAACACAAAAAAATAAAACAAAAGAGAAGAAGAAAAAAAAGAATTGGCCAAAAGATTTTAGTTAAGAAAAATAACAATCTCTTATCCAATTATGATGAGGGGGAGAATGATTAGGACTAAAATGTCAACTAATTTGATTAATTTGAGGTATGAAAAAGTATATGGTTTGAGAGGGAAGTGCACATGATGATGATGATGATGCATTTTAGTTATGTAGTAGGTGAGCTAGTTGGCAACCAATTGTTTGTCACATCCTCCTCCTTTTTAACTTCTTCTATGATACTCTTTGTCTTCTTTTTCTATTCATTAAATCAATCTTTTTAATATTACCTTGAGTTTGGTGCTACACTCAACACCACAAAAAAATATATATATATATATATAGCTATATATATATTTAGTGATATCCGACATTGGTTGGAGAGGAGAATATAATACCCGTTATAAGGGTGTGGAAACCTTCCCCTAGTAGACGCGTTTTAAACCTTTGAGGGGAATCCCGAGAGGAAAAGTCTAAAGAGGACAATATCTGCTAGCGGTGGGCTTGAGTTGTTATAAATGGTATTAGAGTCAGACACTGGACGATGTGTCAGCCTTCTCGCTGTTTCCCGAAAGGGGGTAGACACGAGGCGGTGTGATAGTAAGGACGTTGGGCCTCGAAGGGGGGTGGATTTGGTGGTGGTCCCACATCGACTGGAGAAAGGAACGAGTGCCAGGAAGGACGCTAGGCCCTGAAAGGGGGTGGATTGTGATGTCTCACATTGGTTGGGGAGGAGAGCAAAACACCCGTTATAAGGGTGTGGAAACCTTCCCCTAGTAGACGCGTTTTAAACCTTTGAGGGGAATCCCGAAAGGGAAAGCCCAAAGACGACAATATCTGCTAGTAGTGGGCTTGGGTTGTTACAAATGGTATTAAAGTCAGACACCGGACGATGTGTTAGCCTTCTCACTATTCCCCGAAGGGGGGTAAACACGAGGCAATGTGCCAGTGAAGATGTTGGGCCTCGAAGGGGGGTGGATTTGGTGGTGGTCCCACATCAACTGGAGAAAGGAATGAGAGCGAGCAAGGACGCTAGGCCTCGGAGGGAGGTGGATTGTGATGTCCTACATTGGTTGGAGAGGAAAACAAAACACCCTTTATAAAGGTGTGGAAACCTATCCCCTAATAGACGTGTTTTAAAACCCAAAAAAGACAATATCTGTTAGCGGTAGTATATATAATATGTATATATTTATATATATAAAAAAAGACAGATTATAATATTAAACAAAAATAATAATATTCAAAAACCATACGAAGAATTAAAATAAAATCATTGTCACATGCAAACCAAATATTTCAAAGTTTCAAGTTTCATTTTTTAAATCAAATCTTCATTAAAAAATTTCGTTAATGATTGGAAGGTCATGTGATAATACATCAATTTTTGTTTTAAATATCATGTCACTTTGATTTCACAAATGTAATAGTTCAAGCCCACCGCTATTAGATATTGTCCGCTTTGTTCCGTTACATATCGCCGTCATCCTCACAGTTTTAAAACGGGTATGCTAGGGAGAGATTTCTACACCCTTCTAAACAATGTTAATTCTCTTCCCCAACCGATGTGAGATCTTATAATCCAACCCCCCTTCGAGCCACAGCGTCCTCGCTAGCACTCGTTCCCTTCTCTAATCGATGTGGGACCTCCCAAATCTACTCCCCTTTGGGGCCAACGTCCTTATTAGCACACCGCCTCGTGCCCACTCCTTTGGGGTTCATCCTCCTCACTAGCATATCGCCCAATATCTGACTCTGATACTATTTGTAACGGAAGTGATAACAACATATTTAAAACCTTCCATTAATATTTTTGAAGTACATGCAAAAGTATTAAAGCATTGCCCAAGTTCATAAAAGAAATTTACCACATTTTCCCAATCTTAACAAGGTCATCATCAGTGTGGTGGGTCATTATGGGTAAAGTTGGCGTTCGTGTCCTCTTTCTTTTCCTCCCTTGTTCGTTATATTGCAACAGTGTTTGTCAAGATTGACCAAGTGTGGATATATATTAACACAAGTTCTTGTAAGAACACACAAAACAGCTTAATGGCCAACAAACCCACTCACTCCCCCAACACATCCCAGATGCGCCCATAGAATTAAACCCATCAACTTTGAATAATAATGTTCCTCACCCTCCAAATCCCTCGTCAACTATAAACCTCTTTCCCTTCTCCCCTGAAACTTCACAACCTTTCACCACCAAAAACGACTACAGATTTTCCAAATCCAGAACTCAAAACTTCAGAAGGTCAGCTCACGTTCAAATCAAACTTTTCTCTTAATTCTCTTAGTTTTTCTTCCAAAACTCCTCTTGAATTCTTTGTTTTGTAATCATTAGTGTTCTTTTGGGTTATCTTATTCTCCTTCATCCTGCTCATAGTCTCTTCTCTAGGCATGGAATGTGTGTAGTTTTTCACGAGATAGCTATTAGGATAACACCCATTTTCCAGTACTGAATCATCCAGAACTCAAAACTCAGAAGCTCAGCTCACATTCAAATCAAACTTTTCTCTTAATTCTCTTAGTTTTTCTTCCAAGGCTCCTCTTTGATTTCTTTGTTTTGTAATCATTTGTGTTCTTTTGGGTTACATCCTAAGATTATTGATTCTCCTCTTCCTGCTCATAGTCTCTTCTCTAGGCATGGATTTGTGTGTAGTTTTTCACGAGATAGCTATTAGGATAACACCCATTTTTCAGTACTGAATCATCCAAACTCAAAACTCAGAAGGTCAGCTCACATTCAAATCAAACTTTTCTCTTAATTCTCTTAGTTTTTCTTCTTAGTTTTTCTTCCAAGGCTCCTCTTTGATTTCTTTGTTTTGTAATCATTTGTGTTCTTTTGGGTTACATCCTAAGATTATTGATTCTCCTCTTCCTGCTCATAGTCTCTTCTCTAGGCATGGATTTTGGGTTACATCCTAAGATTATTGATTCTCCTCTTCCTGCTCATAGTCTCTTCTCTAGGCATGGATTTGTGTGTAGTTTTTCACGAGATAGCTATTAGGATAACACCCATTTTTCTCTTCTCTAGGCATGGATTTGTGTGTAGTTTTTCACGAGATAGCTATTAGGATAACACCCATTTTCCAGTACTGAATCATCCAGAACTCAAAACTCAGAAGGTCAGCTCACATTCAAATCAAACTTTTCTCTTAATTATCTTAGTTTTTCTTTCAAGGCTCCTCTTTGATTTCTTTGTTTTGCAATCATTTGTGTTCTTTTGGGTTACATCCTAAGATTATTGATTCTCCTCTTCCTGCTCATAGTCTCTTCTCTAGGCATGGATTTGTGTATAGTTTTTCACGAGATAGCTATTAGGATAACACCCATTTTCCATTACTGAATCATCCAGAACTTAAAACTTAGAAGGTCAGCTCACATTCAAATTAAACTTTTCTCCTAATTATCTTAGTTTTTCTTCCAAAGCTCCTCTTGATTTCTTTGGTTTGTAATCACTAGTGTTCTTTTGGGTTATTTTCTAATATTCTTGATTCTCCTTCTTCCTGCTCATAGAGTCTTCTCTAGGCATGGATTTGTGTGTAGTTTATCACGAGCTAGCTACTAGGATAACACCCATTTTCCCGAACTAAACCATGTGATTGTTTGTTTTACTTTATCCTATGAGTTTCTTTTGTTCATTGGGCAGAGACATGAATGGAGAGTGGTGGAATTATTGTAACTTGTAATAAGATTTGAAAAGCCCAAACTATCCTTAGAGAGTCAACATTTTTGGCTTTTTAATAATTGGGTTGATGGCTCTAACTTTTTCGAACTTTTCTGTCTCTCAGGCATAACAACAAACACCTGGTGTGCGTGTTACAGTGCATACAAGAAACAGAGAGATCAGATTCAGATCCAACAATGGAGGGCGAAGAAAACAAACCTGCAGATTCATGGTCAGACACAGAGAGCACAGGGAGCTCCAAACGAGTTGCCTTCAGCGGTCCGTTACCAGGACCTTCTGTCGCCTACAAAAGAACCAACAGTTACAGCAGCAGCACAAGAAGCACTATGAGAATCAAAGACGACGATCAGTACGTCGAGATTACCTTAGACGTTCGCGACGACTCAGTCTCGGTTCAGAACATCAAAGGAGGAGATTCAGAGACGGCAATGCTAGCGAGCCGATTGGAGACAAAACGCCCCACGCTAAGCTCTCAATTGTCGTTCAAATTGAAGCAAGTATCACAGGAACTGAAACGGATGACATCCTCCAAAAGCTTCAACAGAATCGACAGAACAAAATCTGGCGCAAGTCGTGCCCTAAATGGCCTCCGATTCATGACCAAAAGCGTCGGAAGCGAAGCCTGGTCAGAGATTGAGAATCGATTCAATGAACTCGCCATTAACGGAGAGCTTCCGAAGTCGTTGTTCGCAAGATGCATAGGTATATATATAAAACAACTACATCACAATTATTTTCTCAAATTTGAACAATGCTTGTGAATCTGACCAATCGAAGTTGTTGATTCGATGATGGATCAGGCATGAACGAGTCAAGCGAGTTCGCCGGCGAGTTATTCGAGGCGTTGGCTCGAAGAAGAAGCATAACTTCGACCTCCATAACCAAGGGGGAACTTCGTGAATTTTGGGAGCAAATTAGCGATGAAAGCTTCGATGCAAGGCTTCAAATCTTCTTCGATATGTAAGAATCAGTCTCTCTCTCTCTCTCTCTCTCTCTCTCTTCTCTGAATCTTCTCTCTCTAGAATGGCCATGGATTTGGAGATTCTTTGAAGCAGAACCTTCTCTTACAAAATGGTACGATCGTGCAGGGTGGACAAGAATGCCGATGGCCGCATTACCGGAAAAGAAGTCAAAGAGGTAATTGGAGGGAAGATAATTCATAATAATAATAATAACTGTAGAAATATTTTTTTATTTTTTATTTTTTATTTTTTTTATATAAGTTCAAAATATTTTTATTAATTTAATTTTTTTAATATTTTATTTCATTTATAATAAATATATTGGATTATAGGATTTTTTTTTTTTTTTTAAATATTTAAAAAAATCTTACTTATCTGTCTAAAATCCAGTAACTTGAGTCATAATACCAACACCAGTCGCAAATATTAAATATTTTTAATATTTTTTTAATAATCTTAAAAGTAAGGTACGATTACGTTCTGCCTAAAATCCAGTAACTTTCAAATATCAACTGAGTCATAATACTAACACCAGTCGCAAATATTAAATATTTTTAATATTTTTTTAATAATCTTAAAAGTAAGGTACGATTACGTTGGATTGTAACACTATTTTAGATTTGGTCGACTTGACCCAAAAAAATGTCAACCCTTAAATCGACCCGAATCTTTTTATTCTTAAAAAATTCAATACACTCCAACTGAAATATATATATATTTAACCCAACCCAAATCTAGGGTTGAGTAGTCTTAATTGGTTGGATTCTCTGATCATACGAGCATTCTAAAAAAAATTCTTCCCATTCTTAAATTATTATAAAATTTATAATATTATTAAAAAGAATTTGTAATATATATATATATATTTTTATTATTATTTTTTTTAATTTATTTTTTTTTTCAGATTATTGCATTAAGTGCTTCGGCGAATAAGTTATCAAAAATCCAAGACGACGCAGAAGAATATGCTGCTCTGATTATGGAAGAGTTGGACCCCGACAACCTCGGATATATCGAGGTATGTAAATAGTGATTTCAATGAACACGTCAATGATATTAAATAATATTTAAAAAAATACCTTTAAATATTTTAAAAACTTCAAAAATACCTTATTTATTTTTAAGAAAAAATTACATAAATACTCTTGTCGACGGGATGAAATCGTTAGTATCATGTTCAAAAATACTCATAAACTTTTAAAAATAACATTAAATAATTTAAATAACATTAAATAATTTAGAAATAATCTATGAAATATATATAGACGTTTTCCATCCACAAAAAAATAAATAAATAAATAAAAATTAAAACTTTTTTTATATAAGTTAAAAAATGTTATTGGTATTTTTAATATATATATATATATATTAATAAAAATTTAAAATTTAAAAGTTGATTACTATTAAAACTTTTTAAAATTTAATGATATTTTTCGACCATTTTTAATTAAAATTAATATATATATATATATATATATATATATATATATATATATATATATATTAATAAAAAAATTAAAATAAATTTAAAAATGGAGTATTATTAAAAAAATTAAAATCTAAGGATTTTTTTAAACACTAGTGTATTTTTTTTAATTAAATATATATATATATATATATTATTTTAAAATAAATTTTAATATATATATTATTTTAAAATAAATTTTAATATATATATATATATATTAATAAAAATAATTTAAAATAAATTTAAAAGTGGAGTATTATTAAAAAATTTAAAATTTAAAGGGTATTTTTGAAATGTTTTTTAATTAAAATTAATATATATATATATATATATATATTAATAAAAATATTTAAAAATAAATTTAAAAGTGGAGTATTATTAAAACTTTTTAAAATTTAAGGTATTTTTTAAACGTTTTTTAATTAAAATTAATATATATATTAATAAAAAAATTAAAATAAATTTAAAAGTCGAGTTTTATTAAAAAAAATTAAAATTTAAGGGTATTTTTTAAACGTTTTAATTAAAATTTATATATATAGATATATATATATTAATAAAAAAATTTAAAAGAAATTTAAAAGTGGAGTACTATTAAAACTTTTTGAAATTTAAGAGTATTTTTAATTTTTTTTCAATTAAAATTAATATATATATTAATAAATAAATTTAAAAGTAGAGTATTATTAAAACTTTTTAAAATTTAAGGGTATTTTTTAAATGTTTTTTAATTAAAATTAATATATATATATATATATATATATATATATAAATTAAATAAATTTAAAAGTTGAGTATTATTAAAACTTTTTAAACACTAGTGTATTTTTTAAAATTAAAATTAAATATAAAAATGGATTATTATTAAAACTTTTTAAAATTGAGGGATATATTTTTTTAATTAAGATTAATAAGGATATTTTTTTTGTTTTTATTTTTTAAATAAGGGTATTATTAAAAAAAAAAAATTGAAAATATATTTTTATTAACGTAGCATTTAGTAAAATTTTGATTCAGCTATACAATTTGGAAATGCTACTCCTGCAAGCGCCAAACCAAGCATCGGCCAGGAACCGCGTAACGGACAGCCGAGTGCTGAGCCAACTACTGAGCCAAAAGCTCGTCCCCACCAAGGAATACAACCCCATCAAGCGCACCTACCGCTCACTCCGCTACTTCGTTGAGGACAATCGGAAGCGCATTTGGATCTTCTCTCTATGGCTCGCCATTTGCGCCGCTCTTTTCGCCTGGAAGTTCGTCCAGTACCGCCGTCGGGCCGTCTTCCATGTCATGGGCTACTGCGTCACCACCGCCAAAGGCGCCGCTGAGACCCTTAAGTTCAATATGGCCATTGTTCTTCTCCCTGTTTGTAGGAATACCATTACTTGGCTCCGGAGTAAGACCAAGCTTGGCGCTGTTATCCCTTTTGATGACAATGTTAACTTCCATAAGGTACTGTTTATGTTTCCCATAAAGTGTTTGATGATTTGTCTCTGTGAAAAGTTGCTTGAGTTTTAGGTGGAAGATGATTGGTTTAGATCTTGTTTTGATCACTGAGTTTTATTGGGTCTTAGTTCTTAAATTTGTATGATCTAACCATTTTGATTCTTGGCTTCATTTTGCTTATAACAAATTGATAACATAGCTTTGAATCTGAGTATGTGATGGTGTAAGGGCCAAAGCCCACCGCTAATATATTATTCTCTTTAGGTTGTTTTTAAAACGAGTCTGTTAAGGAGATGTTTCCACACCCATATAAAGAATGCTTTGTTCGGGCCCAGCGTTCTAGCTAGTACTCATTCCCTTACCCAATCGATGTGGGAACCCCCCCCAATTCACCCTCTTCAGGCTCAACGTCCTTGCTGGCACACCCCTCGTGTCCACCCCCTTTGGGGCTTAGCCTCCTCGCTTACACATTGTCTGGTGTCTGGCTCTGATACCATTGGTAATGGTTCAAGGCCACTGTTGGTAAATATTGTCCTCTTAGAGCTTTCCCTTTCGGGCTTCCTCTCAAAGTTTTTAAAATGTGTCTGCTAGGGAGAAGTTTCCACACCTTATAAAGAATGTTTTGTTCTCCTCCTCCTCCGATTGGGGATCTCACAATCCACTCCCTTTCGGACCCAGCTTAAAGAATGTTTTGTTCTCCTCCCCAACTGATGTGGGATCTCACAATCTACCCTCCTTCAGGCCCAGCGTCTTTGTTGACGCTCGTTCCCTTTTCCAATTGATGTGGGACCCCAATCCCCCCCTTCGGGGTCCAACGTCCTTGCTGGCACACCCCTTGTGTTCACCTCCCTTCGGAGGTCAGCCTCCTCGCTGGCACATCGCCGGGTGTCTGGCTCTGGTATCATTTGTAACGGCCTAAGCCCACCACTCGCATATATTGTCCTCTTTGGTCCTTTTCTTTTGGGCTTCCCTTCAAGGTTTTTAAAACGTGTCTGCTAGAGAGAGGTTTCCACACCCTTATAAAAAAATGTTTTCTTTTTCCCTACCGATATGAGATTTCACAGACTCGGTGAGTAAGATTAACAACCCGTGAATAATATCTATTTGCATATGCTTGGTTTAGGTAATTGCTGTTGGCATAGCCATTGGGGTCCTTTTACATGCTGGAGCACATCTTACCTGCGACTTTCCAAAGCTACTCCATGCGACCGACGCTCAATATGAACCGATGAAGCCGTTTTTCGGTGAAGTACGACCGAATAACTATTGGTGGTTCGTGAAGGGGACGGAAGGGTGGACCGGGGTGGTGATGGTGGTGCTGATGATCATAGCATTCACCTTGGCTCAGCCATGGTTCCGCCGCAACCGCCTGAACCTCCCCAAAATCATCAAGAGACTCACAGGCTTCAATGCCTTCTGGTACTCTCACCATCTCTTTATCATTGTCTATGTCCTCTTCATCATCCATGGCTACTACCTCTATCTTTCCAAGAAATGGTACAAAAAAACGGTGAGCGTTCTCGTTCAATCGAACTAAAACACGTAGTGAACGACATCCCAATGACATTTTGTTTCATTGTCAATGACAGACGTGGATGTATCTAGCTGTCCCGGTTTTGATATACGCGTGTGAAAGATTGATTCGTGCGTTTCGGTCGGGATACAAAACAGTGAGGATCTCAAAGGTCTACACCCTTACTCTTTGCTTTTCGTTTGAAGTGCCTTGAACTATATGCTGATAGCAAGAAAACTCCCAGGTTGCTGTGTATCCTGGAAATGTTTTGGCATTGCAAATGTCAAAGCCTCATGGTTTTAAATACACAAGTGGGCAGTACATATTTGTGAACTGTTCTGCTATTTCTCCCTTTCAATGGTAAATCCTACATTCGTTGTCTGATCCGTGATCATCGTGATCGACCATGACGATTGGTTTGATCGGAATGAATGGACCTGATCAAGTTTTGTTGCAGGCATCCGTTCTCGATCACGTCTGCTCCAGGGGATGACTACTTGAGCATTCACATCCGGACTGTGGGAGACTGGACTTCACAGCTCAAGACCATTTTCTCTAAGGTGATTCTTTTTGTAGAATTATGTCGTTTTCGAAAGATTATAGAACAAAGAAATTTTCAGTGAACTTAGTGAGATCCCACGTCAATTGGAGAGGGGAACGAGTGCCAGCGAGGACGCTGGCCACGAAGGAGGTGAATTGTGAGACCCCACATCGGTTGGAGAGGGGAATGAGTGTTAGCAAGGATGTTGGGTCCCGAAAGGGGGTGGATTGTGAGATCCCACATCAGTTGTAGAGGGGAACGAGTGTCAGCGAGAACGCTGGGCCCTGAAAAGGGATGGATTGTGAGATCCCACATCGGTTGGAGAGGGGAACAAGTGTCAGCGAGACCACTGGGCCACGAAAGGGGGTGGATTGTGAGATCCCACATCGATTGGAGAGGGGAACAAAGGTCAATGAGGATGCTAGGCCCCGAAGAGGGTGGATTGTGAGATCCCACATCGGTTGGAGAAGAGAATGAGTGTCAGCAAGGACGCTAGGCCCCGAAGGAGGGTGGATTGTGAGATCTCACATTGGTTGGAGAGGGGAATGAGTATCAGTGAGGATGTTGGGCCCCGAAAGGGGGTGGATTGTGAGATCCCACATCGATTGGAGAGGAGAACGAGTGTCAGCGAGAACGCTGGGCCCTGAAAGGGGATTGATTGTGAGATCCCACATCTGTTGGAAAGGGGAACGAGTGTCAGCGAGGACGCTGGGCCTCGAAAGGGGGTGGATTGTGAGATCCCACATTTGTTAGAGAGGGGAACGAGTGTCAGTGAGGACGCTGGGCCCAAAGGGGAATGGATTGCGAGATCCCACATCTGTTAGAGAGGGGAACGAGTGTCAGTGAGGACGCTGGGCCCGAAGGGGAATGGATTGCGAGATCCCACATCGGTTGGAGAGGGGAACGAAACATTCTTTATAAGGGTGTGGAAACCTCTCTCTAGGAGATGCGTTTTAAAAACTTTGAGGGGTAGCCCGAAAGGAAAAGTTCACCGAGAACAATATCTATTAGCAATAGGTTTGGACTCTTACCGACATGATTCGTGAATATTTTGAAAAAAGGTTGCCTTATTCTGTCATCAGGTATGTCAGCCACCATCTGTTAATCAAAGTGGTCTTTTGAGGGCTGATATTGGCCAAAGCAGCAACAAAATCAGGTACTTATTTCAACAGCGCCTCTCAAACTTTCCTTTAAAACATCAATTTTTCTCACTTTAAAAATGGTACTCTAGGTTGCCAAGACTGTTGATAGACGGACCATACGGAGCTCCGGCGCAAGACTACAAACAATACGACGTTCTTCTTCTCGTGGGGCTGGGGATCGGCGCCACGCCACTGATCAGCATCGTCAAGGATGTACTCAACAACATCAAGGAACAAAAAGACATCGAAAATGGCATCGCCGATAAGCACGCCAAGCCTTTCGTCACAAAGCGAGCTTACTTCTACTGGGTGACAAGAGAGCAAGGCTCATTCGAATGGTTTAGAGGTGTCATGGATGAAGTCGCCGAGAACGACCGAGATAGAGTGATCGAGTTGCACAACTATTGCACTAGCGTTTACGAAGAGGGTGATGCTCGGTCCGCCCTCATTACCATGCTCCAAGATCTAAACCATGCCAAGAATGGCGTTGATATTGTGTCCGGGACTAGGGTGAAGACTCATTTTGCTAGACCGAACTGGCGTAATGTCCTTAAGCGTGTTGCTATAAATCACCCTGATCAAAGAGTTGGTAAGTCGTTACGGGAGATATTTCAAATAACATCGATGAACTTTGGATTATATTTCTACTTTGTTTCGGTCATTAACAGTCACGTCACGTAAACTCGACTAGAATTTATCTAATATCGGGTCGTAACGTGAATGCAGGGGTGTTTTACTGTGGAGCACAAGGGCTGGTAGGAGAGCTAAGGAGATTATCACAAGACTTCTCTAGGAAAACAACCACCAAATTTGATTTCCACAAGGAGAATTTTTAGAGAAATTTAAATATATATATATATATATATATATATATTTTTTTTTTTTTTTTTTTTTTTTTTTTTTTTTTTTTTTTTTTTTTTTTT